ATCCTCACCCTTTGTAATCAACCCCTTTCTAATTTAGGTCCCTACATCGTTACAGTAAACTCGCAGGACCCAAGATAACAGTATGGTACTTTTATAGGAAAAGGCCCGGCCCACTTTTTCCGAGTAGTTTGTTTTAAAGTTACGGTGGACGATGGGGGCGCTGCTCCAAAACAATTTTTGTTTAATTTAATTGTCTGGCGGATTTGAAATTTCTGTAACAAAAGCCGGGACGCGTAGTAATTTATTTGCTAGTTCTCGGAACGCATGGGCCAAAAAGTAAAATATTTCAGTAAACACAAATCATCGAAAGTTAAGGGCTCTCAAGTACGTTTAGCGTCGTCCTTCGGAGAAATTTAGCAATATTATTTTGAACAAGTTCACTTAGAGTCGGGGTCATGTGACAGTCATCTGTCGCGTCCGGGAGGCGCCAACCTATGCTGAGACAGAACAAAGAAATCCACATTTTTAATAACGCGCGAAACCACGAGAAGAGCGTAGAGGTTCCAAATTAGAATTAAAGCAAATTGTTAAATTGATAATGATTGAAAAGGAAAGTAATACATCAAATAGCTGGTTTTGAGGCGGATTTTCCAAGCTATTTAGAATATATTAAATGAGATTGGCTAATCCGTCCCGTATTGCTATGCGGAGTCACAAGAGGAAGGTATAGGGTTGTTTGTAAGTTTAGTCTCAAAATTATTTAGACAAATATAAATTCAGTCAATAAAAACAGAAACTTCTGGACCCAAGAAATGGGCGTGTCGAACCGAAGTGTCGAATTCAGGAGAGATCTACGAAAAAAGTGAGTTCTTTCTTGAGTTTCCCATTGAGCAGTCTACTTAGTTTTCTTGGGTTAATTTAATAATAGATAAAGTCATTCCAAATTTTGCCATGCCATTAATATGTTGTTCGAGCCCGTTGTGTTGTTATTTTGTTTGTTTGTTCTGTTTTTATTGATATTAAAACCCTTCCTTGAAAGTTTTGGTGTTTATTTTCGTTTCTTTCAACTTCAGTGTCACACTGTATAGCCAGCCACTGGATTACATTCTATGTAAGCAATAGAGGGTCTGAAATTAATTCTCTGAACATACAACATTTCTAAGTTCCCACGTATTAATTATAGTATATTGATAATTATAAGCTCCCTTTCGAGAATTAAATAGTAAATTCTTTTGAAATCCAGACTCGTTATGATACTGGTCATAACGATATATAGATAAATAAAGAAATAACCCCTCAGGTTACATTTCAATAAACACGTTCCCGTTAAAAGCAAGTCATTAATTCGGATCTTGAATCTACCCGGTAATTACCCGGTCTCTCTGGAATGTTGACATTTCAATCAACAAATGGTAACAGTGAGTTTTCCACCCCAATTCGTATCTAAAATCAACTTTAATGAAACGACGAGCAACACGGCTCCCCGTAAAACGTATCAGAAATATGTTTGCCAAATTACACTGAAATTGATCTAGTCGTTTGCGAGATTAAGTAATTTCGCCCTTGTCTTTTAGGGGGCCTTCACGAGGCGCCGAGATATGTGATCGCTACAATCTCCGGCTCTAAGGGCCAAGTCCTTAAACAACCCAATCACCCGGCAGATGATAATGAGACCCACACCTCCTCGGAATTTTGCATAAAAAGCCAGTTCTTTACAACTCCAATACAATGCTTAATCGTGAAAAACGGTTCCTTACGGCAAAACTTCTAATTCAAACATTGGGACATTATTTAGACCAAACGGAATGCTAGGGTATTCGCAGTTGAAATTTATTAATGGTGAAACTTCTGAACTAAATCGGTGTCTCATTTTTTTTCAAACAATTTAGATGAAAATTCAATCATTTTACAAGTAACAAAAGGCTTTGGAAATTGGGAATATAAAGTTCTTTGACTATTTGCTTATTAACTGAAATCAAGGCAACAACTCTCAAAATTTACATGTGAAGACAAATCCTGCCTGAACGAGGGGGGTTCCTGTTAAAAATGCCGGAGTTGAAGACTACTTAACAAATATAAGTTGCTAAGAGCTTTACTGCAAATTATTTATCCTTTCCCGGTTAAGACAAAACTCAAAGCAATCTGATTAACAACCGAAGCTTTGTAAATGTTTTAGTTGAAAAGAAAGGTTGGAACAAAATTGCCGAGGGAAAGTTCGCAGAATATTAAGTTTGGGAGATGGATTAGTTAATATGAAATTTTCATCATCAATAAGCCTATACAGGCCGTACTTATACGGTCCTTCAATTCATTTGATGGATATGCAAACGTTGAGTTTGCAAACAAATTCGTTGAGGACCGTTTTCTAAAAGCATCAAACAGATAGTTCCTTTTATAGAAATGCATTGAAAATTAAATTCGGACTCAAATTTTCCGTTGCTTTCTATCAAAACAAGGAAAGTGTGCGTTATCTCGAAAGTTTGCTCTTCTTCCGCATATTTCTACTTTAGTTTTAACGAGTTTGGGAGAGTTATTAAATATTCTAGTTACAAAGGCAAGTTCTAATCATTATTCTAATTAATAAATTTTATAAAAGGGATGTAGAATTAGTAAACTGTATCAAAGAAGGAAATTTGGTTATCGCGAGACTGCAAGACTTTATTTTTCAAAGCCAGGTAAATAAAAGTATCACAACAGTGTTCGGCTAAATTGTAAAACACGTTTAACCTCAGTCATTTGTTTACGTTGTATACGTCGTGTTACGTGGTGAAAATCGGAAAACGCCCCGTCGTAAGAAAGTTTGTTTTATATCAACTTGTCCAAATACTAGCAAAAAAGGTGACAAGTTATATCTCCGGCGACGCGACATATATAAAGACAGAAGATTTCGAATAAATCCTGTGTTTTCGAGCGTACATTGGATTTGTTCGTAATTCAAAACGCTTTAAAAATACCCGATTTTATGTGTATACTTGCCGGATTATTAGTTGCCAAACAGCTCATTACTAACATATAAATTGCGCCCACAGATTTTCTTTTATAAGAACCAACAATTCAACAAAACTTGTATTTTTGTGTAGTTGTAGTTACAGCGTATGCATTTTTAATGGTCCTTAACATGAAAACTTACTTATCAGACCATTTTAATAACGACAAACCCTTGCCAGACTTGATTTCACCGGGGAATATCTCACTATACCCTTCTCTCTCCTAATGAATGCCATTCTAATGTACTTAACTAACAGCAGAAAGATTTGAAAACACTTAAATGCCTTGCAAATTTAATTAAACTATTCCAAAACAAGGTATATTAATCGCAAGCAATCATTTAGTAACCGCAATCTTGCATTTTGTAACAATAAATAAATTATGATACACAGATTTTTTAATAACCTTTCGAATTATTAATAATAATACTTTTGGATACACAGACAACTAGACGCCTTATAAAGTTAACTGCACCATTCCAAAACAAAATATATTAACAGCAAATAATTATTTAGTAACTACAACCTTTCATTTAGTAACAAAAAATAAATAATGATTAATGCACAGAATAAATTCACATTTTTTCTTATAATCTTTAAATATTAAAATGTGATACTTTCGATACACACGTAGGTAAAGTTAATTATATCATGTCAAAACAAGATATATTAACAGCAAGAACTGTTTAGTAACTACAATCTGGCATTTTGTAATTATAAATAAATTATGATAATTGTTCGCAAAAAATTACACGGTTAAAAATGATAACGACTCTAAATAATTTTAATAATAACCTTTTACTAGATTTTATTTTAGGCGGAATTATCTCACTACCTCCCTCTCTTTTCTAATGAATAACGTTCTATTGGCCTTAACTCAAATGAAAAAAATAATTACATATATCATTTCAAAACAAGATATATTAAGGACAAGTAATTACTTTGGTAACTACAATCTGGCATTTTGTAATAATAAATAAATTATGATAATGTAGCCAAAAAATTCGCAGGTGTTTTAATAACCTCTCGAATTATTAAAATGTGATACTTTTGATGCGCACGCCGTCTTAAATAAGAAATATTGCGACAGTAAATCAGATTCCCGGAGAGTTAAAAATATTAAAAAATATATGACGACATAAATATCTTTAAAAATGTATCAATGAAACGAATCTAGTAGTCTTACATGGTTAGAAACGGCGAGGGCGGCTATAAGACCGTTTCCCCCTTTTTGATTTATGCGTATTACAAGAAAGTGATTACAGAAACTCTGGCGGGACGATTGGGCTTGAGTTTGCATAAATGTTGACTTTTTCGCGAAGTTTACAAACTTCCCCAACATATCTGAACCCGTGAAATTTACTTCCTTTTAAAATGGCTTACTGGATGTATTCCTGCCGAAGTTCTTAATTAAAATGAATTTCGCTGACAAGTAAATGTCGCAGAGGTTTGCTGTTAAGGTGCCTTTTGATTAACTTGTGTACAGTGTGACCGTTTTTAATTGACCAATTTATGATTTAAGCGTCTGTTACGACAAAGTAGTCAATATTTACCACAATTTCTATGGGACGTACACCATTAAACCGTATTTACGATAAGCTAAGCTCCACGCATTTCAATTTTGTACGGGATGCACGGGCAATGCGATGAGGCTGTAAGATTAGAGTAATGATGTTAATTGTCATTTAAATTTTAACTCAAAAGAGAACTGATGCCCGTCGGATACATTGTTAATATGTAAAACAGGGTTTTACGAGCCTGAACATAAAAATTTATTATTAGAGTTCAATTCATATGAAAATTTTATGACTGAGACTCCCGCAATATAATGCACCAGTTTGATAAATGAGGAATATGTTGAGTAAACTTTTTTCACTTCCTTGTTCACTTTTTATTGCTATACAGGGTAATGGACATATTTCTTTTGTTGTATTTATGTAGTTTTAAATATTACAAGGAATAAATAAACACTATAACAAAATAGTGAAGTAGGTGGAAGGTGGCAAATAAACCATATAAATTTTCAATTACGACGCGTGAGAAAACAATTGATTTGTATTTATTTTGTTTCAGTCGAAGTCCTCTTTTTGGTATGGGGAATCAGGCTCTGCATCGTTGTTAGGAAAGCGCCATCAGAGTTCAATGAAAGCCGATTTATCTCCATGGCGATCTACAATGAATTCTTGTTATCAGTTTTTTTAAATATCTCCATGTAAGTATACTTTTTATTTTTTTTACACCATACGATATAATAAAATAAAATACAAAACGTATTGTATGAATTACAGCTTAACGGAAAATCTAAATATCTTGACAAAAACAAACGAGCGCGTGAACTAATTTATAATTCCCTAATAATTTCAGTTCACCACATTTTTGAAGGTAAATTATACTTATTAATTTTCATAATTTATCCTGTTTGTTTCAAATTTTGGAATGTTAAGTTAATTAAAAATTGTAGTAAACAAATCCCTGACCTATTTCTGCATAATCAAATATTCTGGCATTTGATAAATATAGATGCAAAGCATCAAATGTCAACAGTGAATTTAATTAGCGACATATTTACCTAGAATATTTATATTTTACTCAGTACTTGATGAACACGTACATTCACATTAAATAAATGTTTTAAAAATATATATTTTTTTAAATATAGCACAACACTTATTTATAACTGACTTTTGATTAGATGAGTTGAACTATGAGTTGTTTTTATTAAAAAAATTAATAATATAGCAATGTACGAGAAAACAACCGAACTTTTTGATTACGCACTAATTGAGATATTTAGTGATATGCGGTTGGCAGCATTGCGTTGCGCATAACCTCCTCTATTCTAACATGTTATAACATGTCCTAACATGTTCGTTGACTGTTGATATCACGGGGATGATGCTCTGGGTCATAGGCAATGTCCAGATCCTTGGCTTTCTGATCATGAGAGTCAGCAGTCAGGAGTAACATTGCCTACGACCCGGACCCGTAAAGTTTTCCCCAGTATCACGCAAAATTTTACGTTATATCGTTGTTCCAGGAAATCATCACTAACACTTAAACAGGTTGCACTAAAATCACGAAAACTAAATAAGATGCCAACAGTCTACTAACATGTTAAGACAAGTTATAACATGTTAGAACACTAAATATCTCCATTAGTGCGTAATTCAAAAAGTTCGGTTATTTTCTGTTGTTATATTTTAAATTTGCCCCCTTTGGATTCCGTGTTAACGGCGCCCATGCCCACGAATTTTCAACCCATAGCTCAACTCGTCCAATCAAAAGTCAGTTATAAATAAGTAGTAATAAATTACGATAATTTTTTCTCAACATTACCAGTAATTAAATACAACACACATACAAAATTGTTAAAAACTAAGATCCACAAAATAATGTACGCACACATTTTTCCCTGGCTCAATTCTTTAGCGTGCCGTCGGGTACTTACAAGATGCATGTAAAAAATGAACTACTGCTCAACACGCCATAGCTATATAAAGTTAATTTCGCTTAAAATCGTTGCCTTGCTCATACACTGATCATTAACAGAACCATGATATATAACGCGGAGCCAATTTAATTGCACATATGCAACGTTATAAATGATCTAAAACAGCTGTATTCATTCGGTTCAATCGGTTTCATGGAGAAAAATCGTTCCGTTTTTTTTACAACAAAATTAAGATAATTAGCGACCCAAATTGTTTTCTCAGTGTATCTAACTAGTTTGAGATTAGATAAATTACAAAAAAATAAAACTACGAAACAAGAGCGTTGCGTATAAACCGCAATTAAGTTGTAATTAATTTCGAAGCAATAAACACTGAAACGTATAAAAAGCGAACTCGGGAAACCTGTACGGAACGTATTTCTATGCACGTCACACAGCTGGTAAAATAGATGTTTTAATAATAATCCACCGCACGTTCGTTTTGGAAATCCGAAGCATTATTTATGCGGAAATTATAATTTATAATGAACGTAGGATATTTATAAATGCCTAACAATGAATATGATACAGCTCTTGATCCCGTTTACCCATAAATTTTATTTATCTGAAGCAATTTGACATAAAATTACCAAGATATATGCGGCAGTAGAATAAATAATGCCCGTCGAATATATTTCTCGCCACACTTTCGATTTGATGGATACGGACAACGCGCAATAAAACTAGTATTATTTTTACGGCCTCGTCAGCCTCGGTACGCAAATGTAAATTGTCTGGAGGGCCAATAAACGTCCGTAACGTTAATCTTCCTCTGAATAATAAAAATTGCAAATACGGTACGCACAGCGATCACGTCAATTAATTTAAAACAAGCAATTCGAATTTTTATTTCTATTATTAGTATTTGCGAAAAGATTAATATCAGTCTGGTAACCGCTGATTTTGCGCTTGAATTATAAAATTACAATGAGCGAAACAGGAGCTTATCCGAACGAAGCGCTCCGCAACCCCTTAGACCGGCTAAGGGGAATATTTACACGTAATTGTTTGTTTTGTAATGTTACACCTTTTAAAGAGCAAAAACAAAAGGCGGGAGACCACTTTGAAGTCCAAATTCCCTTTGTATGCCATTTCAAAAATGAAGTTATGCTGAATATTTCCCTTTTTCCACCTTATCACCTCTATTAAATTTTACATACTTGAAGGCAGGTGTCGCCTGAGGCAGATCCCGAACGAGTGGGTTTTAAATCTGTACTTATTTAGACAAATAAACGCGGCTTAAAGGTAAAACTAGACCCGACAATCATCTGAACTATAAACGGTATGTCTGAAATCCGCTTTTGAAATTTCCAAACGATTTAAATTTAAGCGCAAATCCTGCAGAGTTGTTTAAAAGTTATAAACACTATTATACTATTTGATGCCACGTTCCACTTCGCCCATAAAACTTTAATCGCCATAGATGAGCTTATAAATGAGGCTAGAAGCTGTTTGTTTAATTACCAAGCCCTCTCTAAATGCACAGCAAAATGTAGTTGCTTCTCCAGTCCGGCATACAATGTACACACTTGAACTGGTAAAATTTATTTAAAATTAGAATTGTTAGTCTCCTTGTTAGCTATATGACGCCACCATTAGATGTCACCACTTGTAAAAATGTAAGACTTAATGCAATTTTCGTATTAAGTAACAATGAATGATGTACATGACATCTGCATATAAGAAAATCATGGTCCCTGGGTTGACGTTCGATCACCCGCAACGCTGGCTCCGCAAGGTGTTCCATTGTGAGGTCCTCGCAAGATTTGGAGAATTTGGTCTATGGAAAACCATACCTCTGAAAACAATTTTGTTTAATAGCGACAATTATGACTTTGCGGAAGGGAATTCCGGAAATTTTCGAAACATGCGTAAAAAATGATTCCGTCTGATTTGTCTATGAATGCTCGAATTCGTTCTGAATACTACTACATTACTGCCATTTTTGGTCAAATTACATCAAATAATTATAAACAATTTAGAAAGTACTTCGTAAATAACAGACTGGGGTGATTTAATTTTTGTTATATTTGTCAGAGTCCGCACATGAGTGTAATTTATTTAGACGGTAAGCTATAAATTAGATCAGATCACCCATAAAACAGAAAATACCATTGCGGGGGATTAAAAGAGATAAACGCGCTTTCATAAGCTGATAGACAAAAAAATTTCAGGGCGATTAATTTGGGTAACAGATAAAGTGTTCAACAAGTGTTGTGGACCCGTTTTACTGGGATCATGTACTACTTTTAGGTTCACTTTGCAATAAAAGAAATAAACGTTGGGTGTGATAAAAAGTGTATCTTTTCAAATTTAATTTAAGCTTAAATACTGTTTCAGTTGTTAGATAATAATTATTTTATGATCAATTACCTTGTACGTTCACAAAGAAAAAAGGTATTTTATTTTAATTTAAAAAGCGTTGTTTACACGACGACAGTCCGTGTCAAAAGAAGGGCGTTCGTCCTTTATTACAAAAAAATTAAAAGCCGTTGTCCCTTTCAAATCCATACTTGTTGACTTTTGCTTTAACATTTATGTTTAAAAAAAACTGCTCTGTCTCCTGACAAAGGGATAAAGTACAAAATTAAACAAGTACAAAGCGTGTTTATCATACTTCTTTTGTTTTTTTTACCGTTCTATTTTTATTTGAACTGAATATTTATAAAACGGTATTTAGCAAATCCTTTTCCATGACATTTTTTAATTAATTTCGTGCCTTAAAGGATATAATATAAAATGAAACATAGTCAAATTAATTAAAACTGTTTTTTGCGCTATATCCCGCTAATTAATTTTTCGTAACATTTAACGTTTTTTTTTGCTTGGCATATACAGACTTTTCATTGTTAATAAATTCTGTGAGTATATTTTTTTACGACAATATGAAATAGCTGCCGATGAAATAAAACCACATAGTACACAGGGAATTTGGACACCTACACGCTAATATTCTCCAATACACCTTTTTAGTAGTGACGTCACATACGCCAAATAATAGGCAACCCCATGGTACACATTGTCATGAAGATTTTCACAGTGTTTTTATTAGATCGATTTTCGACCTTATGTAATTTAGGTAAAAAAAACTTTAAAGTATAATAAAACAACACACCAAATTTCAGTAAAATCGGTTCGATTGTTTTCGCAAAATAATTTTTTAAAAAAAATTTTAAAAAAAATTCGAATTTTCAAAATGTTGCACAGTCTCAAATAAAGTATCTAGATACGTGAAAATTTTTTCGCATAGAAAAGACCGCTCAACCTCTCAAATGGTTTTTGAAAAATTGAAATCGGTTGATTAGGACGGCCATAGTGAATTTTTAAATTTAACACTCCTTTTTTATTTTTAAACTATTAGATTACATTTATCAATTTGCAATTTCAACAATTTCAACTGTGACAATTTGTTGTGGGTTGCCTAAATATGTAACGTCACACTAAAAGAGTCTATTGTTCCAATCTATTGGCTGGAAAAAATATACACATCCGACCGAGTCCTTTTTTTTTATAACGGAATAATGGCAAAGAAAACAATTCTATAACATAACAGCGTTTTCCCCAGGCCCAATTGTTTTTTCGTTACCGACAGCCGGATAAACTTCGAGGAAAGTATCTATAGGCGCTCAAGCATAACCAAAAGTGGTTTCCTTATCCCCCAATGCCTAATTAGGAATAATTTTTATATGTGATTTTCAAAATTACGCAAAACGAGAAAATTT